CAGTAAATGTTTAATAATTGATGAGTTTAAAGTAGAATTTAAAGATTGGGAGTTGTAAATACAGATGAATTTTTGGTCAAGCCCCATCTTTACCTCCCAATTCTTCACCATTCGTTCATATACACAGTCGTTTAGTCATTTGCCTTTTTCACTATTGGGAAGTAATTGTTCATGGAGATTCTCACATTTCAGCACCTTTTGCAGTAAGGGTACTGAAAATCTTTTTTTTTTTTTTTTTTGAAGACATAGTCTCACTCTGTCACCTGGCTGGAGAGCCGTGGTGTCAGCCTAGCTCACAGCAGCCTCAAACTCCTGGGCTCAAGCGATCCTCCTGCCTCAGGCTCCTGAGTAGCTGGGGCTACCGGCAAGGACCACCACACCTGGCTAATTTTTTCTATTTCTAGTAGAGACGGGATCTCACTGTTGCTCAGGCTGGCCTCAAACTCCTGAGCTCAAGCAATCCTCCCGCCTCAGCCTCCCAGAGTGCTAAGATTACAGGTGTGAGCCACCGCGCCCATCTTCTAGCCCGTAAGTTTCAACATCTGACTAACAGAATTCCAGGAGAACATGGGGAAAATGAAGATGAGAGAATGAGTAAAACTATAGTAGAAGAAAATTTCCCTGAGGTAAAAAACAAAAACAAACAAACAAACAGAAACATATGGCGGAAAGTGCCAAGTACAGTTGAATGAACAAAGTCCTGTGCCGAGACATTCCTTCATTGATGCAGCACACGCCATATACAGTTTCAGATGGCAGGGATGCAGCTATCATGTAGACAGCTACACTAACTGTTCCCAGGGAGCTCATATTTTAGGCACAAAGGACAAAAGCAAAGCAAATAATTAAAAGAGGTAATTTCAGATAACTGTAAGTGCTAGGAGGAAACTAAGGAAGAGTGATGTGGTCAAGAGTGAGGGGAGAGTGGGCTCCCTTGGACTGGGCAGAGAGGGAAAAACCATCTGAGAAGGTGGCATTGGAATTAGAAGGAGGGTCCGGCCAAGACAAAATCTGAGGGTCTCACAGAGATGACTCCAAGGGATGGGAGGATGGAACTATGAGCTTCTTAGACCAGTGGAAGATCATATTGAGATATTTTTTGAGCTCTCAGAACATGTGAGAAGCTAAACACAGATTCAAAGAAAACAAAATAAATGAAAATAAGGCAATCATTAATTCCAGGAAAATCAATGTTGCACAAATGAGGAAATCTAATCATGATACACATTTCATAAACATAAGGTGGAAATATCAAAAAAGGCTTTGACCACAATTTGTGAATGGAAAGTTGCATTGCCAATTTACCAAGCTAGGTGGTCATAAATAACATCTCAATTTGATTAATGTATATAGCATTCCTTTAAAATATACTGGTAAATTCCAGAAGAGACAAGTAAAAAGAATTTAAAATTATTGCCTCTGGGAATTGGGGTTAGTCAGGAGACTTCTGGTTCTTCGTTATGAACTTGGAAATTTTATTTATGTTTTCTAATTGTAATAAAAATAATTTGATAGAAATTATTCTTAATGTATTAGTGATGACTAATGACAGTAGCTAACCTTCAGTGACATCAAGCTGATAGCTTTACACGTGTTACACATATAATCCTTGCCTACAACCTTCTAAGGCGATTACTGCCAACATCACCCCATCTTACAGAAGAGGATGCTGAGGCTTACACTGAGGCAACCACACACAGTCAAGATCCAAACTCAGGTTCAACTCCAGAAAGGGCTCTTATTCTAAACCGCCCTTCAATATTTAAAGACTTTATTTCCCATACCATCCTATTAAGCACCATCAAGAAGCCACATACCTGGTACATGCATCTTGCACACACACACACACACGATGACTCCTAGTGGAAAAATAACTCCCAGGACAAATAAGGGTACAGTATTCTGTAATCTAAATAAGCTCTGATTTGCCATTCCTTCCCCCACTCCCTGCCCTCAACAGTCTAAATTGGCCAAATTAAAGCTTTGTTATTCAAATGTGAGGCGGAACACATCTTAGAAAACCCCACTGAGAACCCAAAGGAAACAGAAGTGTTTGTTGGCACCAAGCACCAAAAACTGGACAATGAAGTTCTGCTAAATGAGCAGATCCTGACAAACCTACCTACATGCAGTTGAGAAATAAAAGTTAAGGTTTTCATAGCTCTCAAAGAAGAGTTTTCCTCCTTTCGGTGAGGCTATGCGGAAATCGACATTCAGATCCATTGCTGGTGGGGGTAAAAATCGGTACGATACGTGTGGAAGCAACTTGGTAATATTTATTGCAATCCCACTTCTGGGAATTTATCCTACACATATACCACGCACAAGAGAAGTGATGAATGTATGAAGCTATTCGCTGCAACATTGTTTTGAATAACTAAAGATTAGAAACAACCCAACTGCCTATCAAACGGGAACAGGTTAAATTACAAAATGGAATAAAATGGAATGTTATGCAGTCCTTAAAGGTAGTGCTTAAGAGCATGGACTCTGTAGCCAAATTGCTACAAATCCGGGGTCACCCTGGATGACAAGATCCTACTGTTACATTTTCAGGGATTCTGCTGTTTAATACAACCATTATTAAAAATTAAATTATATATAAACATATGATCAAATAAACAATATTAAAAACAAAGGCAATATTTAAAACTCATCACCTTCTAATTATTTTACTATTATCTATGCCCTTGCCTAGGTTATTGAAGTCTGTTATATCTGTAAGATAGAAAGATTATATTATATAATGGTGTGTGACTGAGAATCTCCTCCCAATTCGGTGTTCATTGTCTTCAAGCTAGTGGCTTGAAATCAGCCATGGTGGCGGCATTTACACCGCAGAAATTGGCAAATGCTGCAGAATAGGACTTTTTTTCTTAGCCATTTGTTAAACATTTATCAGCATTGCACTGGTTACAGGTGACCTCAGTTTTGTCATCTGTAAAATCAGGATAATAATAGCACCCACCTGATACGGTTGCTGTGTGGACTTGTGAGTTAATGTATGTAAAGCCCTTAGGAGAATTCCGGGCAGGAAACAGGGTCAATGCTAGGGTTAGCTCTGCTTCAGATATTACCGGTACAGAAAGATTGCCAACCTATGTTATTAATATTAACAACTTTTTTTTTACAAAGCTCAGAAAAGTATGTATGAATGCTATATTTTAGATACAAAAAAGGGAAAATTAAAAATACACATTCATAGCGTCTTGTATAAAGAAGCATGGAAAGACACACAACAAAATGAATTAAAGGGGTTTGCTGTTTTATCTTTGGTTGGAGGAGTGGGAAGAAGTAGGTGGATGTGGGACTTAGGTAAGAGCCAGACTTTTCACCGTACATTGGATTTTCACTGCATGTTCTGTTTTTGAGCTATGTGGACATATCGCCTATTCAAAACATTACATTAAAAATGGAACAGTTTTCATTAATCCCATAAGCCTTTCCTCCTCATCTTCTGTAATCAGAATGCTATGAGAGACACTCTGTGAGGGTAAAAAAGGACACAGACCAAGGTGAGACCCTGGCCTGTGCCCTCCAGGAGTGTGCTCAACTTAGACAGGCAAAGCACACACGGGTCTGACCACTGCTGCACAAACGCCACAGGGCTTTGTTCTTCAATCATGCAGACACGAAACGGCTCTTCGGAGGTACTCACCCTGTTGTATAAGGGATGTTTATGCCCCCTAGATTAATGCTTTCACATCCAACAATAAATAGGGTTGAAAAACACAGTAAAGACACACCACTGCAGATCATGGCTAGTTTTGCAGATTCTCTGGCACCAAGTTTCAATTTTTTTATAATGTAGCCTCCCAGGACAATACCAACACCAGCACTGGGGACAATAATAACACCTGGAGAGAAAAGAAGAAGAGGATTAATTTGAACTAGTGTATACTCTTATGTGTCTTATCTAATTATTCTGCTTCTTCTTGCTCATTAGTACCAAAAATCACTCTGATCAATACATTTTCAGTGTGTGTGATTTTATAGTATAATATTATTTTCAACACATAGAATCAACAAAGGACTCATATCCAGATTGCATTAAAAACTTTAACAAAGCAATAAAATAAAGGCAAACAACCCACTAGAAAAGTGAACAAAACTTGAACAGGTCCTTCACAGAATAGAAAATCCAGATGACCAACAAACACATGAAAGGTGCTCAACCTCATTACTAAGAGGGACATACAGATTATGTATCCAATACATAGGAATGATAAATACTTGGGTGATGGATACCCTAAATACCCTGACTTAATCATTATACATGCTGTGCATGTAACAAAATTTCACATGTATCCCATAAAAATATACAAATGTACCAAAATTTTTTTTTAATTTTTTAAACACCACAATGAAATACCATTATAGACCAATCATATTGGTAAAAATGTTTAAAGTCTACAATATCGCGTGTTGGCAAAGATGTTGCACGTTGGAAACTCCCAACATGTTAGTGGGATGTAGACCTCAACATCACTTTGAAAAACAGTTTGGCATTAATCTGGTACAACTGAAGAAATACACACCCTGTGACAAGCAATTCCATTCCTGGATCTATACCCTGAAGGAACTCAGGCACATGGGTACCAAAGAAAATGTACACAATACCTGAACCATCATAATAATCAAAAACTGGAAATAAACCAAATGTCTATTAATAGATACATTATATGTAGAATATTCATATAATGCAGTACAACTCTTCCCTAATTAAATGAGAATAAAGGTAGCTACATACAACTATGTGGGTGAATCATACAAAGACAATGTTGAATGGAAGGAACAAAATGCAACAGAACACACGTAACATGATTACATTTGTATAAAATTCAAGAATCTGTAAAACTAAAAAGTATTGTCTAGGAATACATATACAGGTAGGACAACTATGAAGAAAACCTAGGAAGTAATTGCCATTAAAAACCAAGAGAGTGTCCACATCCTTGCAATAGTGAATTGTGCTGCCATAAACATTCGGCTGCAGATGTCTTTATTATAGAATGTCTTTTGCTCTTTTGGGTAGATGCCTAATAGTGCTATTGCTGGATCGAATGGTATTTCTATTTTTAGCTCTTTGAGGTATCTCCAAATTTTTTTCCACTGAGGTTGCACTAATTTGCATTCCCACCAGCAGTGTAAGAGTGTTTCTGTCTCTCCACATCCTCTTTGAGCCCATTATCCAAAGTGAGGTATCACAAGATCGGAAGAATGGGCTCCACATGTACTCGCCATCAAATTGGCACTGACTGATCAACACTATGGTGCTCACATGGCAGTAATACTCTCCAGGGATCAGGGGGTTGGCGGGGGGGGGGGGCTAAACTTATAAGTAATGGACACAGTGAGCATTGTAGGGGGGTAGGGCATGCCTCTAATCGTCACTTGGATGAGGCAAAGACATAAAATGTAACCAAAATGTTTGTACCCTCATAATATCCTGAAAAAAAAAAACCAAGAGTAGAGGAATGAGTGGTATCAGGAAGGGATACAGGTGGCTTCTCCAGTGCCGAAAATACTTCATTCTGTGACCTGGGTAATAGTTAGTGCTATGGCCTGAATATTCGTGTCCCTACAATATTCTTATGTTGAAATTCTAATCCCCACGGTGATTAGAAGGCGGGGCCTTTGGGAGGCAATTAGGTCAGCAGAGTAGAGGCCTCACAAATGGGATTAGTGCTCTTGTAAAAGAGGTCTGAAAAAGCTACCTCGCCCTTCCACCATGTGAGGTTACATGGTGGGAGTTTACATGTGAGAAGACAGCTTTCTACAAGAAATCAGGCCCTCACCACACACCAAGTATGCCAGTGCCTTGATCTTGGACTTCCCAGCCTCCAGAACTGGGAGAAATAAATTTCTCTTGTTTATAAGCCGCTCAGTCTATGGTAATTTTGTTACAGCAGCCTGAACAGACTAAGACAGTTACAAAGTGTTTAGTTTACAATTATTTATTATCTCTACATTTTGGCTAATATACCTCTGGGTGTGTTATTTTTCATAGTAAAAAATAAAGAAATAGTCATGGTGCCTGTCCCAAGAACCTTAAAATATACAAGTGAAACAACTTAATAGATAACTAGGGTACAATAAAATAATTATACAAAGTGCAGGGAGAAGACAAGAAAAAAGCATCCGAGTCTGCCCTGGGGGAATCAGGGAGGGCTTTACACAAGTGGTAGTATTTGATTTGACACTCAACAGATGAGACAGAATCTGCCCAATGGACCAGCACAGAGAGAACATCCTGCACAGAAAAAATGTGTGCAGAGAGGCATGAGATAACAGAATGGAGGATTCGGAGATGTCTAAAATATTGAGAGTGTGGAATGCAAGCTGCAGGGAGGTTGGAAGACACAGGGAAGAGAGGTAAGGCAAAGCACAGGGAAAGAAGCACCAGTGATCTCTCTGCCAGTGGAGGCCCCTGAAGAATTCTGAGGACAAGCTGACAGGAGAGAGATTGTGTATCACAAAGATGGTTCTTGAAGTGAGATGCAAGACAGCTTAGATGGGGTCAAAACTGGAGGAAGAGAAGTGTAACTGCAGAGGTCCTGGTGAGCCACAGGAAGGCCCTACACCAACGGCACAATAAATTAGACGAGGAGGATGGGAGGGGAGGAAAGATGAGTGCATGTCATCAGATGGTGCTAAGGATCCAGAAGGGGTGGAAAGGCTCGCGGGCAGCAGCCGATGGCCTCCATGTACACGTGTTGAGTGCGAAGGGCCTGAGGGACAATCCGGCAGGCGTGCCTCACCCAGGTGCACCTACACCTGCACAGGCAGGAGCTGGGCTGGAGGATTTAGAACCTGTAGCTGAATTCAGGACATAGAGAGGATGTTCCAGCAAGAGAGCACAGAGTAAGAAAAGGGTCAAAACCAACATCCAGAAGAGCACCAATGGCAATGGGACATCATAAAAAGGTGAACCCCACAGAGGAAACTGAAAATGAGCAGCCTCAGAGGCCAGAGGAAATGTGGGGAAGAGAGATGTTGTCAGGGGGAAAAACTGGGGCTTTGGGTTCAGAAAGATAGAAGGTCAAGTCCTCACTCCATCTTTCGTAGCCACGTAACCATGCATGAGCTTTCTAAACTCTGGGACCCAGATTCCTTTACTTTATCATGGAGACATCTGCCTTCCCCGTGAGAATGAAGATCACATGCACCCTCTCTGTAAGTAGCTACAGCAAACAGTGTGTGGCACACAATATAAACTGCAGTCATTGCCCTTACAACTCTGCCACAGAAAACCGAGAGAGAGTTTCGAGGAGAAAATGGACAATGGTATCATGCCTCTGAGAAGTCCAGAAAGACAGACTGAAATGACATAAGGTGTCACCGAAGCTCTTAGCAAGAGCACTTTTAAGGGTGTCCTGTAGATAGAAGCCAGACTGCAGTGGGTTGAGTAGTCAGTCATGAGGATCTAGACATTGGGAGTCCAGACTGCTCTTTCTAGACATTGGCTGTCAAAGGAAGGAGCAGTGTAGGTCTAGAACTAGACTGGGCCAAGACAGAGTTGGGGTTTGGAGGATTTTACCTGTTTGCTAAGATGCAGAGGTGACTTTGACATGTTTATATACTGAGAAAAATAGACTAAAAAGGAGAGAGAGGTTGAACATAGATGGAAAAGTTTAGCTAATGACAATGCCAGATCCTTGGGAAGTCAGGAGAATATGGAATTAACAGCACAGATTGATCAGCTTAGCCCTGGGTAGGGAGAGAGACCCCTTCATCTGGGCTGGAATGAGGAATGAGCCAGTGGGTGGCTGATACTTCCACAAATGTTAGGTTTTCTGCTGTGTTATTTTTCATTATTTTTGAAAACATTATGTAATACATTTTGTAACAAACCATTTGAAAAACATAGAAAAGCATGAAGGAACAAAAATTCATACTTACATTCTGGCATATTTCACTGCAACCTTTGTGGGTTTTTTTTTTTTTAGAGAATTGATAACATGCTATAGATTAATATTTTAATAGCTTTAGTTTTTGAATATTTTTCTGTACAATGGAAAACAAAACCAACTCTTAGAGGGAAGGGATATTGAGAACTTTCATGTGGCCAAGAGTGGGAATAACCATTGCAGGAAAGTAAAGTGGGCACTAAGTAAGAATATATAACAGGCTTGGCAAATGGAGGCTACCATGGGTGCAGATGACATCGGGTACCAGAAGTCTGCAGCAGCACCCACACACATACGGCAGTGGCTTGCCCAGTGTGTTCAACAGTCCACACTGTTGTTGTAAAGGAGAGGAGGAAGAGGGTTAGGTTAACTTAAAGTCTTGAGTTTTTTCCTGGCATCCAGTGTTCATTTGTAATCCTCACCAGAGTCCTATAAAATGGTCCTTTTACAGAGGAAGAAATTGACGGCTCAGAGGAGTGGCCTGCCCCATAGTGCACAGCACAGGAGGGACAGCCTGGATGAAAAATGACATCTCTGTTACCAGCCTAGCGCTGGTCCACACTACTGCAGCTGCCTCTTGCAGCTAGTGGGTCCCTGGAATCTTGTAGGTAAAACGAGCCGGCTAATAAAGTATCCTCCTCACTAAGGAAGAAGTACACGGGCTATCAATGTCATTAAACGGACAAAGCTTTACCTTTACAATGAAAATGGTCCATTCACAAAACTCTATTTCAGTGGAACAATTTATGGAGTGACAGCTACTGTACTATAGCCTCAGGATAACAACAAATTATAATTTAAAACCAGCATAATTTATTTGACTGCACAGCCTAATTAGTATTCAGCTCTTAAAAACACAAAAACTTGTCATCAGTAAACATGACAGTACATCAAACAGATTGAAGAACCATTAAAATGTTGTCCTGGTACCTCTGTCATCTGCATCT